TTTGTGGTGACGTCATAAATTTTTTAGGGGGGACGACCAAATACATTTTGATCAAAAATTTACCATGCTTATGATAATTTTAAAATATATTCAAGATTTCGAAGCATTCGGTTTTGTAGTTCCTGAGTAAATCAGTAAAATAAATTTACGCTTTCATTTATTTTTTTGAATCACCCTGTATATGCAAATCCAAAAAATATGAATGGAGTGATAGATCACAAGTACAGACTGATCATATTTTGTACATTTTAGATATGATTTATTCGACAAATTTTCGAGCTGACGTCATCAAGTTTTTGGAGGGGATAAGAAAATATATTTTGACTAAACATTTATTATGCTCTTTATAACCTTAAAACATCTGAAGATGTCAGAGCATTCCGTTTTGTAGTTCCTGATTAAATCAATAAAATATATTTACGCATTCATTAATTTTTTTGAGTCACTCTGTATATGCAAATCCAAAAAATATGAATGGAGTGATAAATTACAAGTACAGACTCATCATATTTTTACAGTTTAGATAGGATTTATTCGGCAAACTTTCGAGCTGACGTCATCAAGGTTTTGGAGGGGATAAGCAAATATATTTTGACTAAACATTTATTATGCTCTTTATAACCTTAAAACATCTGCAAGATTTCAAAGCATTCGGTTTTATAGTTTCTGAGTAAATCAGTAAAATAAATTTACGCATTCATTAATTTTTTTGAGTCACCCTGTATATGCAAATCCAAAAAATATGAATGGAGTGATAGATCACAAGTACAGACTCATCATATTTTGTACATTTTAGATATGATTTATTCCACAAACTTTTGAGCTGACGTCATCAAGTTTTTGGAGGGGATAAGCAAATATTTTTTGACTAAAGATTTTTGATGCTCTTTATAGCCTTAAAACATCTGCAACATTTCAAAGCATTCTGGTTAGCAGATTAAAAATTAAATTTCAAAATGTTGTTTTATAATTTTGATTTTTTTTCCAAAAATCTGGACGTTTCGGGTGAAAAGTCGATTCGGAGTTGTAAACTACATGTGTAGGACTATGTTATTTTATACAATTGAAAACCCATTTACTATGTACAATTTTGAAGTGACGTCATCGCATTAGTGGTGGGTATGATTAGACAAATTTTGGTTAGCGTTTTACCATCTACATGATATTCTTAATATAAGTACAAAATTTCACAACAATCGGTCGAGTACTTTCGGAGATTATCTGTCTAATAAAAATCCGGGACGGCAGACGGACAGACGGACGGACAGACGGACGGACAGACGGACGGACAGACGGACGGACAGACGGACGGACAGACGGACGGACAGACGGACGGACAGACGGACAGACAGACGGAAATGGGAGACCTATTTCTTCGTCTTCTAGGGGTCATGAAAGATCGAGAAAACGTAAAAGTAGAGAGTCGGCCGACGGACTCGATTACAATACTTCCTTTGCTTACGCTCGGGAAGTAAAAACCTGGCGATCCTAATACAAAATTCTGATGCAAGTAATTCATAGGGCATTATTATAACTAGAGGGTTTTGTCAACTGTACAAAAAAAAACTATAAATAATAAGCTAACTATATAGAATATTAGAAAAATTCAGTATTGATTTTGCCGTTAGTAATACCAAGTGTATGTGTATTGTTAATTAACTTAAAATTTTAAATACTGGAATGTGGGAAGATAGCTCAGCTCCCGATAGAATGTGTTAGTGTAGATCTCATGTCGGGTGAAACGTGGACCAATGGTCTGTCGGCAAAAGCAGACAAACTGGTGTGTAAATCAAATACCTTATTTCAACACACGACAGACACAGGTATGTTAATTCTATTTAAACTACTTAATGCTAGACAGCCGCCAGTTTAATTTAGTGAAAAGTCAACAACAGACAATTTTATTATTATAAATCGAAAAGAAATCCAATTTAAATGTAAATATAGATAAATAGAAATAAAATTAAATAGAAAAAAAATTAAGTTAAGTATTAGTAACTTTTTCTATCAAGACATCCCTTTGCATTAACTACTAAAAGTTAAAAATTTACGTTATATTTCACTAATGAGAACTAAAAGATATTATAGTTTTAATGTTGGAAATATTCCTACAATCATTAATTCATTAGTATCATCACGTATAACATGATTGAATTAAATGCATGTTTTATTTCATTTACATGAATAACAAAATTTAATTGTCTTTTCAAATTAGACATTCAAGTGTTTTATTACCTTAGTCGTATTTAAAATAGATAATTCTAGTAATTGTATAGCGATATAATTTAGAATCACTTATCTTGTTAAATTAAGAAGTAATACATTAACACTGTATTTTGATATGTTTAAGGACATCGGTTTATATTACTATTTTTCTTAGGTAACTTGGAATTGTCAGCTGAAATAGTCTGGAGCAGCAGTTTAAAAATTACAAAATTACAATCAAACATACTGTCACTATATATCTTCTCTAAATAATTTGACTGCTGTTGGTTCTGTTGACTTAAACCAATTATTTGTGAAGAAATACATTTATTCCTACTATTACTTGCGGTGAGTCTTTAAGCCTTAGTAAAATTAATGCTAAATTTTTTGCTAAAAAATGTTGACGCTTTTTTGTCTAATTCAGATATTTATAATTTTTTATTTGTTATATTCAATATTTTGTATTATATATTTAGAATAAGCTAATAATTTGTCTGGTATGTAAAACGAGCCACAAATAATTGCTCTCATTGAAAACTGACAATTTGGAGTTACGCACTTTGCGCTCGTAGGTACAGATTGAATAGCGACAACAAGTAAACATTGGTAACTATATCTTTATGATTCGTTCAAAGTTAAATTAGATATACCGTAAGGTTTTTGTTAATCCAAATTCATTTGTGTTAATTATAAAAGATTTGATTATCGTTTTCAATTTCGAAATTATATTTAATTCGATTAATTTGAAAATATCTATAAGAATTATATCGGAAATTACAACTGGACTCAAATAGTTTATGCAAATGGTTCAAATTCAACCATTCTATTCCGATTAAATTTAAATCTGGATAAATAAATAAATGAGTTCATGGGCAGTGAAATTGTTATAACTTTTCCTTTTCCTAAATTTTAGAATATTGTTTACCAGTTCTTAAATTCTAAGTACAGATAATAAAATTAATAGAGCTTACAACATTTTTAGAAACTACCCTGTGTCTATCAATACGTCACTTAATCAATAATCACTTATACTAAAATCACCTTAAATACATACTAATAATATTTTACAACATTAGTCAAAGAACCTAACCCGCTCAACTCTAAAACTTAAAGTTATACAGGTACGATCGCTAAAACCGTCTGCTTGGGGCAACACAGGACCTTATTTGCAATGAACGGAAATTCTATAGGCACGCGACACGGCTTACAAGTCTACAAGACCCCAGTAGGGGAAAAGAAGACTCGGCATTATTAACCAAATAATCCTAATTATGTCATAAAATTTTATTAGTATGCCTTTAAAGTGATGTTACAATACCTCGAAGAATGGTGAAACTTATCAGAATAAATACGGTATTTTTGGTTCCCAGCCTAATGTGATCCATAAAGAGTTTAGTGTAATTTAAAAGTAAAGGAATGGATATGGGGAAAGGAAGATATATTAAAAGTAAACGACAAAAGAATCCAATAAGGAAATAAATAAACACATAAAAAGAGGAAAATAGGGCTAACAAGAGAAATAATTTAAGTATAGGAACTTGGAATATACCAAGCAGAAAAACAAAATTGGTAGAGGATCTGATAAAACATAATGAGGAAATACTAGGAATTACGGAAATAAAAAAGTAAGTATGCCTGGCTATTTTCAAAAGTAAGAGCGAAAGAAGGGGTAGGATTTATCACAACATTAATAATATTAAAAATAGAAATGACGCTATTTGACTAAGAGCTGTGGACAATGATAACAGTTTATGGAGAAAACGAAGATGCTACAAAAGAGACTAAACATGAGTTCTATGGAGAACTGCAAAAAGCAACAAGTGAGGGGGAGGGAAATACGATAATAACATTATCAAGTATCCGCCGAAAAATCTTGGCAAGAATAATGGATAGACATATAAGAGAGAATATTCAGACAACATAGAAGACACTGAGTGTGGGTTTAGACGGCGAAGAAACACACGAGATCATATAAAATTGTGATCAGGCAAGCTAGCGAAAAATTTATAAACAAGAACATACATCTTTGTTTCACAAAGTTGGAAAAAGCTTTCAACCGATTAACCGCTTTTTCCAAGAAAGAAGACATATGGATGACCCTAGAAAAAAAGACAAATAGATAAAGAAACAATAAATATTATAAAAGAAATGGACAAGGAGAACACAGACATAACCGGAATTAACAGCGAAGGAACAAAAGAAGTTAAAACGAAGATGGAAATGACCAAAGGATGTGTGTTGAGTCCACGGACATACTCAATAATATTCGACGAAGCAATAAAGGAAGCTAAGAAAACATTGAAATAACTAAAAATGAGATATTGATAGATGCAACAAATCTAACTGCGTGAAGTAATGTTTGCAGATAGCATGATCATCATAGAAAAACAGCAAAACATCTACAGAGTAATTTAAAAATCTTAGACAAGGAAATATCAACAATAAATATGAGGTTGAACTCGAAAAAATAAAACTAAGAAAAGCAAATGCATAACATAAAACCTCAATGAAAAGTAGAACATTAAGTGCAAATTTACAAATATTTAGGAACTATAAAACAAAGCAACGGAAAAATAAATCATGATATAAATGAAAAAGCGAAGAAAGCAGAAAAAATCTTTAACAAGGTAAGAACAACTTTCCTAGTAATCTTAAACATGTGTGAAACAAAACCGGACATATTTTTATTAAAACGTTTGAGTTACAACTGTTACTGGTGAAATTTCGGAACATGCCGGCACACTCTCCAATATATAAAGTGATTTATAATTGTAATGACGATAAGTGCAACTCACCATGCTTGATGCAATGCACCCCTCTTTCCACTGTAATTTCAGTGGCGGTCATGCAGGAAGCTCTGTGTAATTCGCAGTGGTTTGGATAAACGTGACCATCCGAGCCACAAACCAACCTCCGATGTACGGCACATTGCCTCTGACAGACACACGTGGCTTCTCCATTTTCGACGACACACTCCCTTCCTTTCGTACAATAATGCACTAGGCAGGGATCTGAAACAATATTGCATTAACGTACCAACATGATTAATGCTGACGCCATTCAAGTTTTAAAACTGATCACAGAGACAATAAAATTGCGTTATAGCTTCTAAATCACCATTCTAGTCTATTAAAGTGAGTAGTCCTAGACATATTCTTTAAATAGATAAAGCGGAATCCTGGCAGCAGTCACGCAACTTCTCATTGAAAAGAGTATAAAAGAAGGAATCCTCTATTAATTCCAGAATCGTAATGTCGGCGCTTGAATCCTCGGAGGCTTTTGTAAAATAGTGCAAAATGTAGGCAGTCATGACAAGATTCAAGAAGTGGTTTAAGAACTTCGGCTTTCAGAAATGTAGCTTTGTATACGCATGAAAAAGTTTATTACGTTCGGCACCTTTTAACAAAGAGAATAATAAAGCATTTAATGCACTAATTTAATCAGGGGTTTGTTTGCTTGACAGTTTCTTTGCCAAAGTACACTTGATTAGGAAAGGCTACTCCGTGCTTCAAAGAGATTGAAGAACATCCTTAAGTCATTTCGTATTAACTAATATTACTTTGACTGGTACCCATTATTTGCGAAATATAACAAAGTGTTTTGAAATATTAAGTTCCGTTTAGAAAAATTGTCTTAAAGTCTTTCAAGTTTATTCATCTACTTGTTGTGGATAATGTGAATAAATTCCTGAATCTAAAATTCAAGTACTTAATGCATTGTAATTGTTCATGACAAGAGTCCATAATTTTCTGTGTACAAAATTAAAACGGTTTGATTATTCAAGTTTTTTCAGAAATGAAAACCATGTTCCGTTACTATAATATCAAACATAACTTGTTAATGTGTAAGTATTTCTCGTAAAGGATAGTGGACCAAAGATAGTAAAATTACTTCTTTATATTCCCTTAACAATGAAAGAAATACGTAAAATCAGTGCCGATTTACTGTTACATACAAGATTTTTGTTCTCATTCACCAATATTTTGGAAAACTAACATTAAACAATAGTTATTAAGCTCAAATACATGGACGTATATCGTAACCATTAACGAAAAACTGTGTGAAGTTTTTTATACAAAATATTTCTGTGTTGTCATTGTACTCGTATAATCCCTAGATCAAGTGCTCAAACGGGCTCCCGACGAACAAGCTGTCTGTTTCATTGCGTATCTATACTCGTAACGAGAAATGACGAAGATAATTCCTCATTAAATAAAATAAGTCCAAAGTAAAAATATTGGACGTGCATAAGTTATGGTTATTAATATTGTTATTATTATTTCAGACATTGTAGATACAATGACTAAGCAAAGATCTAAATTGATACGAAGATGAAATTCACGTTCCAGATTCTAGAACTATAGTATATTGAGTTGCTTGCAATTGTTTACTAACTTCACCCCACGCCCACGAGAACTTAGCCTGATTAGTGATTACCAATCACCTGACACCTAACCTACTCTACTCTGATCTAATCTGCTGTTTGAGAAACTTCTAAACCATATGTTTCTAACAGAACCGTTTTTTTTAACAATTAAGTATAATTTGTTAAAAAAAGTTATCAACTAAACATTTTGAAATTGCACACAAATTTAACATAACTGGTGATACAATTAAATATTTGTTAAAATTTGTCGTTACCTTCACTGTTATTGACCACTGTAGGTTTGCTAATACTTACAACGTCAATAACAAGAACTTCTTTGATGTGTTTCTTTATCTCTTTATCAAAATACTATTGTGTATGTTTAATAAGTATCAGTATTATTCTGGTGCAGACTAGTTAAGTGTAGTCCTTTCTTTGAGGCATGATAATGGAGAATATATGTAGATGTAATTGGAGATCATATTTTAGATCAGATGCAGTTTTGTTTCCAATAAATGTGTGGAATTTATTTTGCAGAATGTTAAATTGAGATTAGAGTTTTTACCAAGAAACTATTCTTTCAGTGAGTTTGAAAACACATCAGTTAGTTGTGTTTTATACGTATCGTGTCGTGGTAAGTGATGTTCACACTCCTCTAAGGAATTCTTTTATTCCACCCAGTTGCTTTCTTATGCAATAGAATTTTCTATTAATTCTTTTCTTCCATTAGTATTATTAAGATGGTGACCATGTTAAATAAATTTTTTTACGGGTGTTCATGTTTATATATTTATTTATGGTCCTGTAGTTTTGTGTGAGCTAGCTATTACTACAAAAATTAGATCTAACCTATTTATGAATATCATAAATTGTTTATTTGTTCCTCACTTGTAAACATTAATTTACCAAGTCACTGTATTCAACATGAAAATGTCACTTAACTGGCTATAGCCTGTAAAAAATGTTACTGGCTAACCAGTAAAATTTTTACAGCCCTGCTCGTGCTCATACAGCCATGTATTTTAAACATTTTAAGCTATTATAAGTTTAAATGACGGCCAAAATTGATTCAGGTAAATTTTCACTCACAATTGCTGCTTCCTCAGTAATATAGCTTGAAAACGATAAATCGAAAAACCTAAATTACAGAACTAGACAACACAGTAAATGCTATGACAAGTGCCATGCTGACCTGCGTTTCCAAGGCAATACGTCTAAAGCTCATACGATGTTTCTTCAAATATTAGACCTTCTAGAGTTTTTAATAATTTATAATAGTTATTTACAAGTGAGAAACAAATAAAATATTGAACAATACACGCAAGGTAACGGGTTTTTACTGGCGGACAGTCATATCCTTCTATCCACCAGTAAAAAGCCTTTTACCATGTTAGTAATGTTAAATACTATTACATATATTAGTACGACCCAGATAAATATTAATAAACAATATATATAAATATTGTTTATTATTCAAAGATACATTTTCAAATATTCACCAGCTTTGATTTTGCAAGCTAAAAATAATATACTGTTATAAATATTTTTACGATCAATTAAAAACATGACCCATGTCACTCTTAATAACAGAGTTCTGAATTTTCTGGAGCATTAAATGAAAAGTCACTAACATATATAGCTATTTTCAGTGATCGTTATTATTTAATTCCAACAGTTTTGAATTTTTACTTTCCGAGCGGAAGCTACAGAACTTACTATTGTAATCGAGTACATTGGGTGACTGGCTATTTCATGTTTTATCGACATTTCATGGCCCTTAGATTATGAAAAAATAGGTTTCCCGTCCGTCGTCTGCCTGTATGTGTTGATTTTTTTTTACACAGATATTTCCGAAACTACCGGACTGATTGTTATCACATTTTGTATGTATTTTAGGAGTAATGTAGATGGTAAAACGTTAATCAAAATTTGGTTAGTCGTCCCTATCAACAAAGAGATGATGTCATTTCCAAAAGTTACAGTAGTAAGTTTGATTTAAGTTTTATAAAATTACATATTCCTGCACTTGTGGTTTATGCATTCGTATTGAGTTTTTACCCTTGCGACATCCACATTTTTGAAAGAAAAACATTTTACAATTTAAGTTTGAAACTGCAAACAAAAATTTTTGAAATCTTGCAAACGTTAATCAAAATTTATCAGTTTATGTTGTGAGGAAACTCACTTGGAACATACGCATAGCATGCTTCTTTACCTGTGCTATTCCACACTTAAGTATCTTTATTTTAACTTATAGGAGTTGTCATAATGTAGGTTATTACATACATTTTGATGGACAAGAAATGCTAATGATTCCTATTTTTTCAGGTCAGGTCAGGTCAGATCAGTCAAGTCAGGTTAAATTATGATTTAACAAAGTGCAGGATTAATAAAGCAGAAAAGCAAGTTGAGATAGAGGAACTCCTCAAGACTAGTCGGAAAGCATATATGAACATAAACAACATTTTCTTACCGATAATGAAATTTCTAGTTGTGTACTATCTTTAAGTTAAATAAATAAGTAAATAAATAAATAAATAAATAAATAAATAAATAAATAAATAAATAAATAAATAAATAAATAAATAAATAAATAAATAAATAAATAATTCTTGGATATGCCATGAACGAAAGATTGTCCTCAAGTTGGCACCGAACGAGCAACCCACTTTTATCATCCGCGAACCCAACTGAAACTCAGAAAGATAGCTAAAAATTCAGTGTTCACTGAAGGGAGATTTTTATTGGTGATACAACTTATGTGAACTCAGCTCACCGTAGAACGTGAGGTAAGATAGACTTTTAGACCAAGACAAATTATTCATTTAAGCATTTCAATACAGTACAGAATTTTATCTGATCACTCTTTCTTATCGCATATATGATATTAAATAGGTGATGACTGATGACATTGCTACACGAGAACAGAAAACCATTTTTTGTTTACAGGAAGATAGCCATCACTCTGCCCTTGATATTGACGTATTAGTTCTAAGATTTCGCCAAAAAAGATTTCCACTAAGGTCGTAATGAGAATAAAACTTTAGAAAGTGTAATTTGAATTTATTTATGAATCGCCTTTATTACTACTCGGATGTTGATAGTATTGTCTCACATTTTTATTCCGTTTTAAATGAAAACTTTCAATTATGTGTTCCAAAAAAGAGAAGGTCTATAGGGAATTATTTTGTTTGATATAATTTCAGTATTATGAAGGGACTCAAATGCAAAAAGACTGCTTGGAAGCTTTATAAAAGAACCAGATCGCTTAATGATCATAAACAGTTTAAAACTTCGAAGACTAAAATTAACTTATTCCAGCTGACATGAAGACGTTTTAATATTAATTCTATTAGTTATAATAATAGTAACATAAATTTAGTAAAAAATTAAAACCTCTATATTGTTAACTGGTTCAGATCAAGTTCCGGCCTTTGTTCCAAGTAGGTATAGCAACTGTGCTAATCTGTTTGTTAATTATATTGAATTCAATTTCGTGTACTTTCTGCGCAATGGAAAATATCTCGAATTTTTCCGTTATAACCATCTATTTATAAAAAAAATTATATAGCCAACATTGTGAATTATATTTGTAGATCCGTGCAATTGTACAGAGGTACTGGAAACTGTTTTATATCCTACTTTTTCGATTTATATTTCATAAATGATGTCGTTGTCCACCAACCAACATGGCTTTACTAAGGGACGTTCTACCGAAACCAAATAATTAAATACGATGCTGTAGCGTTTGTGTGATGCTTTAGATAATAATCATTGGGTTAGTGATACATATGCTAATTTTTCTGAAACGGTCTACAATATGATCTCTGACTGTTGTCGAGGAAATTTTAGTCTAGTGGTTTTTCGGGTAATTTAATAACAACCTTCAAACCACAATCACGTAACCCTGCTATTTATAAGGGTTAATAGTTTTATATCAAAATTTTGTATACAAAATAAATAGAAAAGAAAAATATATTTTCCTGTTTGGTAAAGACGGAATTTGTATTCTTTTTTTTTGAAGTAATAAATCATTTGGGTAACCCCTCACTACACCATCTAAGGTATAAACTAGCTATTTTGCAAATTTCCTTTGAAGATTTTCGAGTGAAGTAGTATTTGCATATTTAAGACAAGATCTAACCAACGATTTGTACAGTGTGTTAAAACTGTTACCGTTCTGCAGATATTTACCATTTCGTATCACAAACCCTAATGTTTTATAAGATGAAAATGTGACATATTCGATGAGGTTTTGAATGACAGTTGTTTATCAAACTAAACACTTAGGTCCTTAAAAACCTCTGTTCTCTTAATGTAACTACCTTCAAGCGAGTAATCAAAAATAATATCTGAAGATTGTCGAGAGAAAAATAAAATGTAACATTTATGTTTGTTTAATAACAGATTATTATTGGAATTCCAGTCCACGTCAATACAGTGATGAATTTTTAAGTCGTCAGTATAGAGTATATATGGTATACGCAACCTCGATATCAAATTTTTTATGAAAAGAACAAGCAATAAAGGTCCCAAGATCGAGCCTTGGTGTATCCCCGCTTTTTGTAGAAATTTTCGATCGATCTGTGCCTCCTATACTGTCGAAAAAGCGACCTATTTCAGAAATATGACTCAAACAGTGTAACTAAGTCATTTGAAAATCCGAAGTTGTTAAATTTTTTGATGAGTATAGTATGATCTATGCTATCAAAGGTCTTAGTGTAATCAACCTGTTTGTGATTATCTAATGATTCACATAAGTATTGTGTAATTGTCACTATATTAGTTACAGTGTATCTTCCATTAATAAAGCTGTGTTGGTGAAAAGAGATGATATTAGTAATATGGTTACGCAAGATAATTTCAAATATTTTACAGAAATTGTTGATTATGGCTATAGGTCTATAGTTTTTCATATTAGAACGATCGCTACTTTTAAAAATGGAGATTTTCCACTTTGAAGGAAAAACACACGATATTTTATTAAATATTATATATTTTGAGAGGATACTTGACGAACGATTTACAATCGGACACACGAACATAGATGGGATTGTAGCTTGTATTATTATTATTTAAAAACGAATTGGTGAAATAATTTGCAAAGTTCTCGACAATTTCTTGCGGATTTGAGATACGATAATCATCGATATTCATGACAGGGGTAATAGAAGTTGATTTGTTTAAAAAATTAAGAAAATTCCAACAGCGTTTAGGATTTGTTCTAGTGTCTTGATTCAATTTCTTTATGTGATTCCAGTACGCTGTAGAGTTAACAATTTTCAGCTTTGCTCTCAGTTCCTTAAATTAGTTGTAAGTTCGTTAGTTTTTGGATTGTTTAAATTTCAGCCAGACTTTATAACTATTTTCCCTTTACAAAGAGTATCAATTCTTTTGTAAACCAGATAGAATATTAATCTAAATTCAATTACTGCCTATACACTTTACAACTTTGCACTTATTGATCTGACCTGACCTTTGGGATTTAATATGGAAAGAATTACTAATTTACAAACGATAGTGAATAACTAATTTTTACTTAAGTTTACGCATACAACGATGGATAACAGATTAAATTTTGATTAACACTGACGACAAGGTTTCAAAAAAATATTTTTCGACACCAAAAAGATTATGGAAATAATATATAAGTATATAGTTGCAATCTGAAAAAAGTTTTGATTCTGTAGTCATTTTTTAAATCAATTGCTACTGTTGCAGAACGAAAAATGACTGATGGGTTCACAAGCTTAGAACAATTAAAATTAAATTTATAATGCAGGAATTTGAATATAGTAGTATAATACTTTCGTGGCATACGGATTTAGAAATGAAAGCTTGTTCGCAATTTTAAGTTGATCGCACTGCGGAAAACTATTTTGGATAGAGGGCTTTTAAGTTTGATGGTCCGTACAGGCAACTGCAAAGCGAAAATTTCCCAATTGCAATTCAAACTCCAGATCATTACAAACTACTTAAAATAAGGACGTTCATGAATCACTTACTTGTTTCCAATAACGTGATATGTGTGGTTTGGGGACTATCTGATGTTGCGGAGTCTCTATGATGTCTTGACCTCTGTAAAAAAAAATACTTATTAAGAATTAATGACGCAACACAGAGAAATGCGTGACAGGGTTTACTTTCAGAATTGATATTTACAAGCGATAAAACCTAAGATGTCTAAACTAACTCCTGGTGTCGGATGTTCAGTAATGCATTCCCCGCTTATAACTAAAAACTCAGCATTAAATGTCAGAATAGATTACTATATGTAGATATGGAACTATGTAAAAATCTGTGCTCAATATCGATATTACGAGTCCGTTTCAGAACGGGAGTTTTTTTACAAATTTCGTGTTACATTTCACGATTACTCTGTTTCAGTTTGTGTTTAATCTCAAATACAAAAAATAAGCGAAAAACCTAATTTCCTGTTATATTAAATTGTACATTTTTACTTTGACAGTACACAGACATTTCGGCGAACGCAATAATTCTGTTTTAATCTGGCGAGAATTAAAGATTTTATCGTTTTTACGAGTAATTTAAGTCGCAATTTATCTGAGTTGCTTTAAAAATGTCCTTTCGTCGTTACAGACGATGTTAATTAAGTTAGAAAGTGCAGCCGTTGGTAGGTTCTTATTCCACCCGACATGGTTCCATCAATTTTACGGTTATTAGTGCTCGCTTTCAATTCATAATGTTCCAAACTTTTTCACTTACACACACTTTATTGAAAAGTAAAGTTTCCAATCTTCGATCAAGCGTGATTAAAAAGAAAATACATTGCAACTCAGTCAAGTAAAAGTCCGAATTACCAATAATGTAGATGAAATTCAGATTTACGAGCAAGTTCGGAACATTGTGGTTACATTTCGTGCGTAAAATTAAATTTTAATCAACAGTACTCAATCCGGCGAAATGAGATATTGCTTCATAAATTATTTCTTGTATGTTGGAGGAGTAGATTGTTCTAGTTTTCCCTCCAGAATGAAAAATCACCAGAGAACTATTTTTTTCAGGATAGGATGAATGATAGAACTTTTAAAACTTGAAAAATGACATTTTCAATTCAAAGCCAGACTTTTGACTTAAATTAGCAAGTCATATAAGGAATTGATTACAAGCTGACGGGCAAATTTCGTGGTTGCCAATCTAGAAACAAATTCAAACTGTTAATCTAGACTAGGTATAACAGCAATACTATCAGAACTGGCAGGTACACATACTGCGCCACAACACCTCTGGGACTGTGAATCTAACGCTGCAAACTTCGCCAGTTAATAGATTCTGAAATTAGAGCATAAATGAAGTGGTGAATCGATGCATTCAGGACATGGTACAGAATTGGTGGTACACATATCGGCCTTATATAATTTAACTAGATTTGCATCGGATGAATTTATTTGATAAGAGTTGGCGTATATTAATGTATCGTGCTTCTCAAGACATGAGTAATCTTTCACTGTATTTCAAGAATGATGTATTGTTTGTGGAAATGTCAGAGAACAAATGACATAAATATGAAACATTTGTTTATTTTCCGTAGAATGTCGATTTATTAACAATGATTTGTTTCGACTAAGATGTAATGTAAATTTTATAAGTATCAAGTGAATTAGTTTTACAGCTAGTTACATAAATAAAGAGAGAAAAATGTGTAAAACATTTTGCTGTTCGTGCGGCTTAGTTTACGGGTGATATATTTTTTAATGTATGCAAATTCATACCTTATATGACCTGACCTTAATTTGGGCTTATTAACAGGCACAATGTAAAGAAGGCACGCAGATTTCAGAAAGGTGGAGTTACAATAGAGTCGGGATTTTTAAATTTTTGTTTACCCCATAATTAAAATATAAATACTTAAATACCGCTGTTCTTCACAAAATAAAATATTTCAAAACGCACGTAATTAATTTTTTTTTTTTAGTATATTTTGATGATATATTATGTGACACTTTGGAGTTTAGATTGTTACCATTTAACGCTTTCTACCTTTTCAATATTAGTTCTATGCATGTAAGCGAAAATATACAAAATATATATCTGTGGAAACAAAATGAATCCACTTTTTTGTCAATTTTTTTTTTAGAAAAAGTCCTTAATTTTATAATAGGTAAAAAAAAATTGTAACATCCTTTCTTCGATAGTCAGTTTTCACTCGAGTTTTCAACGATCACTTGTATGATTTATGATATTCTTAATAAACTGACTTTCGTAGACTTTCTATTTTTTAATTTACTCCCTCAGAAAGTAGTACCCAGTTACTAGTTCTTACTTGGTACTTAGTAAATAATACTTACTTAAATTAAGCACTCACATGAAACAAAACTCCTTATATTATTGCATAGATTAAAAACAAAATGCGATGGTGGTAACAATTGTTATGTAGTCACTTTGCAGTAAAAATATAAAGGATGTAAATTTTAGAACTATGTATTTAGAGCATGAGAGTACTTTCCAGTGATACCTCTTGTGGAAAATTGATTTACTCTACATAAATTGTTTTTGAAAAGATATTTATATTTTTCCGTGGTTTATTGGAGGAAATATATTTTTACCCTTGAAAGAACTTTGCAAAATTTGTAGGTAACTTTAATGCATGTTATGAATGGAAAATCTTCTTTTTTCACATTTCAGTCGCTTTTCTAAAAGCCGATAAATTAATTAATTACGCTCTCTGAACATTCTGTAACAGCGCTCTTTAGCCTGCATGGTGGTAAACTTTTTGTTTTTCATTCAAGCTCAAAAACTTTCACAATAAAATAACTCCATTTTTATTCAGTTATAGAAGGTTGTCTTTTTTTTTAATGACAAATAATAAATCTATATTACTTTAAAGTAAGTAATTTTTATGATTTAGATGTATCAAAAACTTTAATAGTGAACTTTTATTTTTTTCTCCACAATATTTATACAGGGTCGCTAGAATGTATGGAAAAGGTTAAATCTTGAGAACCAATTGTACAAATCAACTGAAATTAGATATAAGTGCACAAAAAGTTGTGCTCTATTCATTCGTCAAAAAATATTGTTTTTTGCTTTATTTGTTTTCGAGATACAAGCCCAATTTGATTTTTTTTAAATGCTATTACCATATAATTAATGCACTTTTGGATAGAGAGTTTTTTTCTGTTGATGTAGTACAATCATAATTTCTTTCTGATTGAAATGGCAAAATAAATTATTAAACAATAATTAAATAAATTAATAATTATTTTTAATTAATATAAAACAAAAAATAAATTAACCAATAACAAACGAAACCAAAATTAAATAATGAATTATATGGTAGTACCATAAAAAAATCAAGTTGCATCACGAAAACAAATGAAGCAAAAACAATTTTTTTGACGAATAATTAGTGCACAACCTCGTATACCCTTATATCTAATTTCAGGTGATTGGTACAAATTAGTTTTCAAGATATTTAACCGCTTCCTTACATTCGAGCGACCCTGTATAATAAAAAATATAACAAAATTGCCAATCAATATATGCAGTTTCCAACACAGATTTTTTTATTATTAGCTAATTCAGATAGTAATTTCTATTAAGCTGAAATGTATTAAATCATCAATTAAATTGACGCAACAGAATAAACTTATAATGATTTTGATATAATAGTTTTGTAATAAAGCTTGTAATCCTATTGAGATAATATAATGCCTCTATGACGTGAATGTCAATTAGTGTTATTATCCGGACGTGCCTTTCTAAACATATTAAATCAAACTGCTTTAAATATGTTGGTCAATACCAGCGGAGAAATATATATACAGAATTTTTAGGGAAGGTTCATATTAATAAAAACGATTTTATTTAATTGTATTTTTTTTAAACGGGGAAAACTAGTTTTTTTTTCATCTGAGCAAAAAATCAATATTTTGGTATTTTAATCTTATTGCAAGTACAAGAAAATCTGAAATATGCTCTACCTCATTGCGAAAGTTATAATATAAGAAAATCACAATCGTATAGATAGGAGGATGTGCCTCCATTAAAATTCATCTAAGGGTTTTCTGAAATAACGTGCCCAATTTTATGGTGAATTTAAATATAGATAGAATAATAAAGGTATATATTGAATAGCAAGCAATATTTGTATAATCATTCCGAAAAATGAAATAAGCGGGAATAAAAAAAATTAAATAAAAATTACTGCCCTCTAAATTGAAAACAAATTCAGAGGATATATGTTATTCGACAGACATTCTCCGAAACTACCGGACTGAATGTTGTCAAATTTTGTATGTATATTAGGAATATCCTGTAGATGGTAAAACGCCAACCAAAATTTGTATGGTCATCTCACCAACAATGATGTAACGCCATTTCTAACTTTTAAAATATGTTATTTACATTTTATAAAATAACATACTCCTCCACTTGTAGTTTATGAATACGAATAAATTGCATGACACTATTTTACATTTTAACTTTGAAATTGCTAAACCGAAAACTCTGAAATCTTGTAAACGTTGTAAATCGCTAATCAAAATTTATCTGATGACGTTGTCTCAAAATTTTACCTAATAAAGCTACTTGTACTTGTGGTTTATTAAGCCTTCATATTTTTTTTAGAACTCCTCATACAAGGTGACTCAAAAAAATGTATGAATGAGGTGACATTTTTTATTGCCCATCCCATTTTCCTGAAAATTTGAGAGTACAGTACTGTTATTAATAGTATTACACTGCACCAATTGAAATTGATATTCCTGTCCTCGCTAGAATTTTTATATGGAAAAACTCAGTAGAAACATGTGCATACTATGCGTGTTTACCTGAATTTTAACAATCCACAGATATATTACTCTTAGCTCATAAAAAAACTAAAATTCTCAAAGTTAAATTAGATAATTTTTAGAAGCGGTATTTGTTCGGCTACAGTTTAGAGGCGAGGGAAGTTCTATTCAATTTCTATGAAGAATTTTAAAAAATATGTTTTATTTCATGAAAATGTATGCTATTTATGTGGGGTTATTTTACAAAAAATTTACCACAAAAGTAATGTGAATTGTTTAATTAAACTAACCCCATTTAAAGTGATTTTCATTTCAATAAAAAAT